AATTATCACCCCTTATGACTAACCTTGCTTTATATCGCTCCACACTCCCATCAGCTCTACATTTAATTTTATATACCCATTTATAACCAATTGGTTTCTTCCCTTTGAGAAGTTCAACAATGTCCAAAGTCTTATTAGCTTCCAATGCCGCAAACTCCTTCCTCATAGCATCCTGCCAAGATGTATTGGTAGCAGCCTGAGCATAAGATTGAGGCTTAACTGCTGTAGGAGGGGCAACAGAAGTAGAGATAGTAGAGGAGCAAGAGACAGAACGAGGAAGGTTAACCACATAGTCTTGAAGATGAGAAGGAAGATTATGAGATCTGATAGATTTTCTTACTGGATGTAGAGTTGAAACATTAGATGGGACAAGACAATATGGACCATAAATAGGAGGGGAAGAATCAGAAGCAAGGGGATTAGAAGAAGGAGAGGAGGAAGAAAAAGTATCAGACATGGCAGAAGGAAGATTGATTGGAGGTTCATCAAAATAAGTGGGTGCAAAGGAAGGAAGAGAGGAAGGGGAAGAGAGTTGAAGGGGAAAGACAAACTCATGGAAGACAACATCCCTGGAGACAAAAATAGGATAACCAAAAGGATTATAGAGTTTGTACCTTTTTTTGCCAAAACGATAACCAATAAAAACACACGGGACAACCCTAGGTTGAAGCTTATCTCTGTGACATTTGGGCACTGTTGCATAACACAAGCAACCAAAAGACTTCAGATGACTATAAGAAGGAGTTTTGCCATATAAAATTTCAAATGGGGTCTTGTTAGAGATAACAGGCAAGGGAAATCTATTTATCAGGTAAGTAGTTATGAGTACACAATCCCCCCAAAACTTTGTTGGAATTTTGGATTGGAATAATAAAGCTCTGGATGTTTCTAGTAGGTGTCTGTGTTTTCTTTCAACAATACCATTTTGCTGAGGTGTGTATGGACATGTAGTTTGGTGTAGAATTCCATTGTCAGAAAAAAAAAATTGGCAAGCTAAGGATGAGGAACCAAGCTCCAGAGCATTATCACTTCTAATTGTATGTACAGAGAGGTTAAATTGTGTTTTAACCATGGCAATGAATGCTTTAAGCAAAGTAAATTCATTGTTTTTGGAACTCATCAAGTGTGTCCAAGTAGCTCTACTAAAATCATCCACAATTGTTAAAAAATATCTAGCACTAGAATAGGTTTGGGTATGATAAGGCCCCTATGTATCAATGTGAACAAGCTGAAACAAAGTAGAAGTAGATGTGCTATCAGGAAAAGGCAATCTAATTTGTCTAGCTAGAGGACAAATGGGACAAGTAAAAGACTGCTTAGTAGATATTTCAGAAGCAACAGAAGGTATATATTTCATTTTCACAAAAGGAATGTGGCCTATTCTATGATGCCAAAGTACATCAAGGTCATTTATATGTTGCTGAGAAGAAACAGAAGAGGCAGAAGAAGAAGATACACTCTCATTTAAGTTGCATATAGGCTTATTCAAAGAGGAAACATGACTATTATGTATAGACTGCAGAACATTATTCAACGTAGAACTAGGTACATCAGGCACATTGTGCATAATAGTGTTCAAAGTTGAAAGAGAAGAAGATGGAGGAGATAAGGTGGGAAGTTGATGAAGCTTGTATAGACCCTGGTCCAGTCTACCAAGAACCAGAAACTTCTTCCTGAAAAGGTCCTGTACCAAACAGGAACAAGAAGTAAAGATAACTATGCTATGAAATTGTTGAATTAGTCTATGTACAAAAATGAGATTGTACTTGAAAGTGGGAATGTAAAGCACATGATGTAATACAAAAGAAGAATTCAATGTGAGAGATCTTGTACATGTGACCTTCACTTTGTATCCATTGGGCAAAGTGATAAGATAAGGGACCGAAAGTGGTGTAATATCAAAAATGAGATCTTTATCAGAAGTTATATGATCAGTTGCTCCGGAATCCACTGTCCAAATACTTCTAGCTACACTAGTTAACATGCAAGCAGAATAAGCAACACCATTAAACCCAGGCAGAGTAGGAATACTACCAGTAAAGTTAGGGGATCCCACAAAGTTGGGTTGAGGACTAGAATCAACAAGAGTTTCATGTTACAACAAAGTCGTGAGTTGAGTATATTGTTCTTTAGTAAGACCAGGTATGACAACATTCTGACCAGTGGAGACAAAAGTTGGGGTAGACTCATAGTTCCCAGAAGTTGAGGACTCAGCATTTGCAGTAGTTCCAAATTTTTCGCCCGTGGTAAACTTGAAATTTTGGGGAAAACCATTTAATTTATAGCATTTATCAATAGTATGTCCATTCTTCTTACAATACTTGCAGAATAAAGCTTTGTTCTGATCAGAAACCACTCTCTGATTTGTTGAATCAAAATTAACCTTCTTAATATATTGCCTTTGGGGCTGATATTGAGGAGGAAACTTATTAGTTGCATTTGCATTAAAAGAGGCTAGGTCGGGTGTAAAATAGGCATTGGGAATCACTTGTCTCTGCTTTTCATCCTGCAAGAGAATGTTATATACATTGTCAAGTGAAGGAGGTGGGTTCATCATGAGGATATTGCTTCTGACAGTAATGTAAGTTTCATTGAGACCTATTAAGAATTGGTGAACTTTGTTTTCTTCATCTACCTTTAGTAAACGATCTTTTACAACACATGTACATGTGTTTGCATGATTTGAACCCATAATTCCCAACTCATCCCAGAGTTTCTTTAGCTTGTTGAAATATGATGCTATATCAAGAGGACCCTGACATGCAAAAGCTAATTCCTTCTTTATTTCAAATTTTTTTGTCCCATTAATTGTCCCATATCTACTATTTAATTGCTTCCAAATACTTTTAGCAGTATCAGAATACGGAACACTCTCAGCAATTTCAGGTGTGAGGGAGCTGGTTAACCAGGATATAACCATGTTGTTACACCTGTCCCACTGTTTGGATTCAGGGGAACCCATAGAAGGTTTGGGATAGGTACCATCAATGAAAGCGATTTTATTTCTGGCTGACAAGGACACGATAATGCTTCTCCTCCACCCACCAAAACCAGAACCAGGAAAGGGAACAACGACCAGAGACATTCCCTGTATATCATAGGAATGAAGAAATAATGGACTAGAGGCACGAGGAGTATACTCAGAATCACTAGCACTGCTACTATCACTATTTGTCATGATTGAAAAAATACGAAAAATACAAATGCAACACACTAGAAGGATTATTATCGTATTAATATGTTCATCAGTTGCTATGCAAGCAAAATATTATCAGGAGAACAAGAACAAGTAATATCATAAGAGGAACTCAGCTTGTAGACTGGATCAACATCAACAAAGAGTATGAAAATAGAACAGCTTTACCATCCTTCTTCGCAACCAGAGAAGAACAGCCTTGAGAACGAAGACACCACAGCACCGAAATTACACCTCGAAACAGGATGAGGAACGCCATCGAGCCAGAAACCCTAGTTTCGAAGCTTCTCTTCAAATCGGAAAATTTCATACAAAATCACTCGATCTGGCTCCAAATAGATAGATTATACTGTGAAATTAAAGAAAAATCCCATCGAAAAGTGAAAATTGGTGCTAAGATAAAACATCGGCGAAATCAAACTTGAACAAAACTGGGCGAGGGTACCATCAGTGGATTCGGAGACGCAAGATTTACAACATTCCTTGCTCTGATACCATGAAAAGCTTAGATTTGCAGCGGAAATTGAAGAAGATTATGCTAGGGTTTGAGAAAAAAAGAGAGCATTGAGATAATATGATATCTTCTTTCTATCGTCCCAAAACTACAAAGAAGGTTCTAGATATTGTCTTTATACAATGGGCAAAACTGGAAAAACATAGCTATCTTAACTATGGGCTAGACCCGATCCTAATCTCCTGTGGGCTAGGCCCAATACACATAAATAATTCAAAGATAAAAACAGATCTGCTGCACTGCCTCATGTAACGCCAATAAATCCCACTAGTGGGGTCTGAGGAGGGTAGTGTGTACGCAGACCTTATCCAGACCCCGAAGGAATAGAGATGTTGTTTCTGAAAGACCCTCGGCTCAAGAAGACAAAATGACAAAAGGAGACAATATCAGTAACACCACAGAAATAATATGAAAAATATGAACAACATGAAATCAAGAAGAAAGATACAAAGCAAAAGCGAAATAGTATCCCTACCAAACTAGTCTCACAAAGTTATGACATAAGTCAAGACTCAACTACCTCCTAACCTACAACCCTAATACTCGACATCCACATGTTCTTATCAAGTGTCATGTCCTCGGAAATCTGAAGCCTCACCATATCCCGCCTAATCTGTTCCCCCAATACTTCTTAGGCCGCCCTCTACCCTCTTCTTGTGCCCTCCACAACCAGTCGTTCGCACCTCCCTACCGGAGCACCTGGGTTTCTCCTCTAAACATGCCCGAACCATTTGAGCCTCGCAATTATTTTATGTTTATATAATTTATATATGAGATGTACTAATCCCGGCCTTTATGTTATACAAATGGCATGTGCATTATATAATCAATGTATAATCATTTTTTGTATATGATTTTTAGTTTGTGTGTCTAAAAGTCTGTGATTTTTTCGTTTAGTGCATATAATTTATATTTTTATAACATAATAATGTGATTATATCTTTTGAGATTTGGACCAAAAATTTCGCTAGGTATTGGAAATGAACGTGATCCTCGGCTGACTTTTTGTGCTCTGTTTTCCGCTTCTTATTCGTTTGAAGTTGTTAGAGTAGAAGTTTCTGATAAAACGGGATTTGATTTGAGCATCTAATTGATTTGAAGAAAAAAAAGTTGTATTTAAATTTGTATTTCCTTGTGGAGCTCATTTTCTTTTTCAGCAACCAAAACAACCAAGGCCAAAACCCTAAAAATTGGCGACTTGTTTCAAGAAATTAGCATGGAAAAAAAATGGAGATGGAAGACAGCCATGGACGCCAAGAACCATGAACCACGAAGCTAAGTTTCTGAATTATGGACCTACCAATGGTGATTATGTTGGAAATTCTTTCGAAATTGCCAATCAAGTCCATTTTCTGCTGTAAGGTTGTTTGCAAACTTTGGTATAAACTTTTAACTTCTGACCCTTTATTTCTTAACATGTTTCACAAAAGATCACCTTTTTCCTGCCTTTTGCTTTCGGACATTGATGCACCTATCACTCTCATTGAACTCAAACCAGATTTTGATTGTTATTCTTGCCCAGTAAACAAACCCATTGTGTTAAACCCTAAATTTCACCTCCCTCCACTTAATAATCTTGGTGTTGGTTTTGTTAAACAAACCTTGAGATTAATTGGTACATGTAATGGGCTTATTGGGTTGTTAAGTAAGAATCATTCAATTTACGTTAGCAATCCTCTTTTGGGTGAGTATTTCAAGGTTAAATTGCCCGAAAGGGAGAAACGAGTTAGTCAGATTATTTATGGATTTTGCTTTAGTGAGGTTTCTGGACAGTATAAAGTATTGAAATTATTAAATAGGAAATTCCAGGATCATGATCCTAAAGTATCTGAATTGGAGGTTTATACTCTTGGAGTTGATGAGAAATGGAGAAATGTGGGCAAAGCTCCATACCCTTTATGGGGATCACTTAGCAAGGTTAATGTGAATGGTGCTCTTCATTGGCTAGATGATGAAGATACTGAAAAAGGTGCCAGAATTTGCTCCTTTAATATTACGACAGAAGAGGTGAAGCCCGTGTCAGCTCCACCCGGTCTGAAAACTCTATCCTTGCTGTTGATGCTAGCAGAGTTGAGGAATTGTCTGTGTTTATCTGATTATAGCGATGAACAACATGTTGATATATGGTGGATGAGAGAGTATGGGGTTGCTGAATCTTGGACTAAAGATCGCATTTTAATGGATTCTATTCCGCGTGATATCTGTGATACTAAATATATACCGACCATAATTTGGAAAGATGGAGAAATCTTGATGCGAAGCCATCGTGGCACACAACTCGTTTCTTACAACCCAAAAGAGAAGAAGTTCAGGAAGGTTCATGTTTACGGTTGTGGCATTGACGCGACTAAATACGTTCCAAGTTTTTACTCACTCAATCCAAGTTTTTACTCACTCAAGACTGTCATGGGGGACGATTTTCAAGTGTCAAGTGTTTATCCGATGACTGAGATAAAAAAAGGGTAGCCCGTTGTACTAAACTCCCGCTATGCGCAGGGTCCGGGGGACCGCAAGGGTCTGCTGTACGCAGCCTTAGTTTAGTAGTAGCATTTGTTCTGTCTTACTTCCTCTGGGATATGATGTTTTGCATCTTTGTTTCTGGTGTAGTTTAGTTTAAAACAGTGACTTTTACTGTTTTGTTGATGGTTGTGAATTCTGGTAGAAGAACAACTCTGCCTATATAAGTACATGTTTTCCATTTTCACACTCCTAATTACTTGCATTGCAAAATCTCCAAATCTGCATTTCTTTTATCCATTCCATCTTGCATCTGTATTCTTGGTAATGACTAACAATTTTAGGTACATTCACCAAATTAGAGGCTTGTTGTTACTGTTCTATTGTCTCTTTTCATCTTCTTGTGTCGAGAGTTTATCGGAAACAGCCTTTCTACCCCAGGGTAGGGTAAGGTCTGCGTACGCATTACCCTCCCCAGACCCCACTTGTAGTATTATACAGAGTTGTTATTGTTGTTACCAAAGTAGAGGCAATTAGGATTGAGACTATATATATCTGCTCTTTTCCAGCATAGAAGGCAGCGCTTTTCATTTTCTCCAATACATGTGACTGAGGTGACATGGACAATGATGATTCATATAGCCGACTCCCTCTTTTTGTTGTTGTGTATGAAGTTAAAACTGCCTTGACCTTATAGTTTAGAGACTAGTAAATTTTTGGTATTTAGTGAGAAACTAGTTTCAGAGTTACTTCTTTTCTTAAATAATGGTGCTGAAATTTCTGCTAAAACCATTAAGGAAATTTCTGTTAAAACTGCAACCGACCTTATACTTCTTTTTTCTTGTATACTTATGTGTTTCTAAAGTATGGACCTGATAAGTACTGTTTCTTATTTAGAAATTAAACTAACTTGCTACCTGATTTTAACATTAGTTTTTAGTTTATTTTACTAAACTTTTAGTAAACATTGTCTCAATATTCTAAGATAATTCATATATCTAGGAAATTTCTTCCAACCTTCTCAGAAACAGCATGACCCTTATCTGACTATAAAACCCTTGTACCTAAAATAAAAAAATTCTGTCTGCATTAAGTATTCTCCATTGAGTTTCACTTCTTAACAATATAAAAGAATTTCTATTCTACTAGATTAGAATACCTAAATGATAATTACAGGTAGTTCTGTCCATGAAAATTGAGATTAGTAAACCGAAAAACAAGGTACGTCACATGCTACAGCATGTTAAAATACACTAATAGGGTAAAACTTCTTTGCACTTTCAGCTTATTTAAATTAAGTCCTTCTTCATTAAGCCCTCCCAAAACATCTCCATCTACTGTCAAACACATGAAATGTTTGTTTCTATGTTGAATTGGTGTGGGATTAATAAATAAACAGATTAAACTACCGCCATTTTGTCACTAACGCAATAAATTATTCTTTTCAGCTTTTGACTATATGACAATCTGTTCCTGCACAGAAGCTTGAATTTTAAATTAAAAAACTACCTCCGGAATATGATGTTTTGTTTCTGTGTTTTTGGTATAGTTTAGTTTAAAAGCAGGGAGACCCTTCCATAAAGCAAGTAAAACAATTGTTTTAGGTCTCATATTTGTGGGGGGCCCATTTTTTGTTATACCTAATAGATTATGTATAAGTTTAAAAAAAAGTTCTCTAAAGTGAAAAAATTTAATTTCTATCTTTAACAAATATAGAGAAGAAGGATTTGCAACTGCTATGATTTCTACCAAGGAAATTGCACTTGAAATGAATATCGAACCCGAATTTCGTAAGAAACGTGTGATATATAGGAAGTAACAATTTGATGCAAATGTTATAATGAAATCTCAAAATCTTTCGAAGAGTCCTTTAGAGTTGATTACTTTTATACATAATAGACAAGACTATTTTTTCACTTCAAAATAGATTTGAACAATTCGAAGCATATGAAAATATCTTTGGTTTTCTATTTGGCAGTAAAAACTAAGATCACTAGATGATAGAAATTTGAAAAAACATTGCCATAATCTTGAATAGTCCTTAGAGCATAATAATCAATTTGATATTGATGGTTCAGATTTGTTTTCTAAATTAAAAGTATTAAGGAAAATAGTACAATTAGAAGATAACAGTTTAATTGATACACTTAATCAAATAAAAAGATTTAATTCTTTTCCAAATGCCTAATTTGTTTATGGGATAATGTTCATAACTCATGTTACCGTTGCTTCAGCGGAAAGAAGTTTTCAAAATTAAAATTGATAAAATCTTACCTAAGAACAACAATGTCACAAGAAGGGTTAAATGGATTAGTTATATTATTAATTGAGAAATACTTACTAGGAGGTATTGGTTATAAGCAAATCATTAATAGCTTCGTATCTAAGAAAAGTAAAAGATAAAAAAAATAAAAAATAGACTTCAAACAAATAATGAAAAAAATTAAAAAAATTAAGGCGCCTCATAAAGTTTGGCTTTAGGTCACAAAATTCGTCGGGCCGGGAACTTCTCACCCCGAGGGAGGCGGGAAGCGGTAGCTTCTAGAATGGAAGCTTCTCCTTTACTTTTTTAGAGCGTATCGCTATTTTGAAATAAAAAAAAGGTTTATGGATGAAGTAATCGGAATGACAAGTGGTTACGGTTGCGGAAAGCGGAGAAAGTCGGGAACCGTCGGTTACCTTTTGAATCAAAGTAGCGACAAGCCGAGTATTACGACTACAGGGGGAGANCCGCCCTGTTTAAAACTTGGGCAAATTTTATGTTTAGTGGATGCTTTTGAATTTGGTAGATCAATAATTCTGCGTATATATACACGTATGTGTTTTCTTTTTTCGCATTCCTAGTTACTTGCTTTACAAAGTCTTCAAAGCTGCATTTCTTTTATCAGTTCCATCTTGCATCTGTATACTTGGTAATGACTTACAATTTTAGGCACACATAAGATTGGAAGCAAATGGGAATGAGACTGTACGTATCTACTCCGTTTCAGCACAGAAGGCAGCACTTTTCATTATTTCTTATACAATGATGATTCATATAGCCGACTCCCACTTTTTGTTGTTGTATATGAAGTTAAAACTGCTTTCTACCTTATAGTGAGAAACTACTTTCAGAAATACTTCTTTTCTTCAATATTGGTGCTAAAATTTCTGCTAAAACCATTAATGTAGCTCATGCGTGTCTATTTAGGTTTTGTTCTTTCATTTTCTGCAATTAGCTTTCATGGATTTTCCTTTCCCTTACATATGGAACTCTTGAAGTTGCATTATATTCACCTGGCTTGACCTATATTTCCAGATTTTGGAGAAATGAAAAGAAACATGTTTATTTTGTTTCTAGTTTTTTTCTTACTGAACTTTTAGTAAATGTTGTTTCAATATTCTATGATAGTTCATGCATCAAGGAAATTTCCTCCAACCTTCTCAGAAACAGCATGGCAGTATATTATCCTGACTAGAAAACACCTGCAGTGAGATAAAAAATTGATTTGTCTTCATTAAATATTTTTTATTGAGTTTAACTTCTATGCACTAACAATATAAAATAATTTTTATACTTTTAGAATACCTAAATGATAATTACAGGTGGGATTAGTAAACCGAAAAATAAAGCATATCACCTTGCTAGCTATAACATGCATGTTAAAAATACACTGATAGAGTAAAACTTCTTTTCATTAAGCCCTCCCAAAACATCTCCATCTACTGTCAAACATATAAAATGTTTGTTTATATGTTAAATAGGTGTGGGATTAATAAATACACAGAATAAACCATGCCACTTTTTCACTAAAGCAATAAATTATTCTTTTCAGCTTTGACTATTTGATAAGTTGTTCCTGTGCAGAAGCTTGAATTTTAAATTAAACAAGATCATGATCTCCATGATATCCTTCACACACAAGAAATGGTGTGGACACTTGGAACAAATTCCTTAGATAGAACCTATGTGGATTGCTGCAGAAAGTCAACCTAAAACTAACAGAAGGCCAAAATAATAGTAATAATTTATCAACATGTTGATGACTAGCTGATTCTATGGCCTAATGAGTCATTTTTAGTTATATATATATAGCTATACAGATTATTAACATGATCCACATAGAAATTTTTAAGACAGAAATTACAAACAATTCATCAGTTTTTGCTGAAAATGTATGTAACAAGGCCTCTTTCTTACTACCAACAGAATCCAGATGCTCTTTCATTACCTCCTGAAGGTCCAAATTCAGGTTACTTAGTGGTTCAAGATGAGGAATCTGAAACATATTGTTGTTTTGGACTTTGCAAAAATCATGATCTCATGGACCTTCCTTTCCCTCAGAACAAGAATCTAACTGTTCGATACGAAACTGGTGATGGTGAGCACAAGATTATTCTCAAGGAAGATGTAATGTTCATTCCAGTTCTTAATAAACCACTGTCCTCCAATCAATATTATGCTATCAAGCCTCATGGAAAGAGCAAAGGGTATGTTACTGTATCTACACATTTAATTTTGTGTGACAGTCTAATTATATGTTTTGATATTCGACACGAGCCAGTAATAGCGTAAATATGAATCTTCTCATTCCTGTCTGCACTTTAGAAGAAATCAGCATACGAAGTTCAGCCTCATTATTGTGTATTAGCCTTTCATTAATTGGAGTGCATAACAATTTATTATGGCAAAACTCATTTTCTGGTTTTATATCTTTGCCTGAATAAACCAAGGTCAAGGGAGGATCTACATGATCCAAAGGGGGTTGAATTAAATCCCTTTGGTAAAAAAAATTATACCGTGCAAATAGGGGTAAAACCAACTTCTTTTTATATATATGGTATTTATATAACTATATGTGTGTTTATGTGTATTATAACATCTCCTTTTAGTATAGTGGCAAAGGCGACCCAAAAAATGCTTTAGGCTGAAGGTTTGGATCTCAAGTTCGACATTCTTGAAGTTTTTGAATTCCCTAGTTAGAGTTTCTGCTTTGGCCATTATGACCAAGGTAATGAATCTTACAATTCCCCGATTGGCCTTTTCGCAGAAAAGCATTCATGTGTTCAAAGGAGGAAGACAAACAAAACTGCTGTTTCTGCAGATGTATACGTGACGTTAAACCCAAGCCATTAGATCCAGAGGAGGTATATCAGCAGTGTGAGATCTGTCTATATGTTACAAGTTGCAGTGGAAAAGGTCGCTTTTTTGCTAAATCTCTTGCTCCTGATGGTTTTCCACCGCGGTTTCTAAGGCGAAAAGGTTGGTATCTTTGTGCCAAAACTCCTAAAAGTTATGAACTAAGTGATGATGCTCTAGGCCTAAATGCTGAGTTGAGGCAACAACTTCCAGAGTTCAATCTCACACCATCTTGTAAAACTTCTGAAGCTGTGGTTGTAGGGAAATGGTATTGTCCTTTCATGTTTATCAAAGATGGAACAGTCAAAGAGCGAATGGAGAGATCAATGTTCTATGAAATGACACTTGAACAGAAATGGGAGCAGTTTTTCACTTGTCAAAATGACTACAATAATGAAGGGAATTCAGTACTTGTGGATGTTGTTCTTGACACAAAAATTGTCCTTATTGCTGAAAGTAAAGCAAAATGGGATGAATCAAATGTTGTTGAGGGAGTAATATGGTTTAGAAGCTATGATAAAAATGGAAAAGAAATACCAAGTGTGGGATTGAGACAAGAAATAGTACAAAGAATGAAGTGGGAACAAGAAAGAGGTGGATGGCAAAATAAAGGAAGAATTAAACAAGTTCAACAATACAGAGAAAAGGTTAGTAAATGGAAGAAATTCAGTTCCTATGTCTTGATTGAAAGGTTTGTGTTGAGGAGAATGGATAAAAGCTTGGTGATGACTTATGATTTCAAGCACATTGACAAGCTTAAGAGCATATGGGAGTAATGTTAGGTGGCGCACACAAAATTCTGCATAAGTATCGTCGACTTGTTATCACAGCTCGACTTATACAAAGTTTACATGTCGGCTTGTTATCACAACTCAACTTGTACACGACAGCCCACCCACCGTGACATGCACAGAACCATAGCATGGATGACGCATATTGTTACATCCCGTAAGTTTAACAACTTTGATACCGTTATATATATTTGATATGATATTTTGAGTGGAATATTTTTGTAAAATAGTTTGAGAAAAAAAAATATGATTTTATATAGTTATTAATATTACTACTTTCGAATAAATTTTAAATTATACACATAATACGAGAAAGTTTATAAATGAGATTTTCGTTATTTTAAAAATAGAAAAAAAAATTCCCGCAAGAAAAAAAGGGTTATCTCTTTACCATTTTCAGAATTAAGAGTACGGAAAATTTGTACTCTTTATATGAAATTAGAAAAATTAGAAGTTGATAAAATATATATATTTTTACATGGATATTTTAATAAAATACTAGTGTATATCTTTGTTTGTATGATACCACATGACCATAATAGTAAGGTATATAAAGTGTGTTAAAAGTGAGTAGTATTTTAAGTAATTTGATATAATTCTTAATTATGTGGATAATTGGACAATTAATAAATTTTAGTGGGAGATTAATTAAAAATCTTTGGATAAGTTTAAATAACCTTAGGTGGAAACTTGTGGTTTAGAAAAAGTGTGACTCATATCTTTAATAATATAGGTGACATGATTTAGAGCGGAGGAATATTTATAAAAAGTAAAAACGAAGGGGTGGAAAAGGAACACACAGGGCTGTAGCTTTGGTTAAATAATTCTGGCTTCAATTCTTGCGTTAGTTTGGCTCTCTCCTTCCATCGTTGTTAGTGCTTTTTCTTTCATTTCTTGCTTTCCAATTATTTTGTTCCAATAGTCTAAGTTTTGTCATGGATGCTCGTTACATAACACCAGTAAGAGTCCATTTGCATGAGCAAAAGAAATGTGGATGTGGATCACCTACTGTTAACTTCATGGTGGACTTATGCACATAAACTATTCCTCTCTAATCTGTTATAGGTATTACCTTAACAGATGGAAAAGTTTTTTGCAAGTTGGAGGATGAAAAAAAAAAAAGTTGAACAAGAAAGAAAAAAGCATGGGATATTTCTTTCTTTTGTATATTTTTTTTTGGTTGATTTGGAGAGAAATAGTAGAATACGTAAGGTGTGGAGAACTCTATGTGAGGGGGTTAAAAGTTTGTCTTCCTTATTTACATCTAAAAATTGGTATCATGGACACTGGTCCACAGCTGCTGCTGTGGTCTGTTTTTCTCTTCACTAGTGGGATTGTCAAGAGAATTGGCTCAGGTATGTTAAAGTTATCCCTTCTTTCTTTTGGCATGATCCATACGATATAAACGAAACGAGAAAATACACAACTTCCATAAATGACTTTATTCATAGAAGTATTAGTAATGCCTACGTTCTTGAATTCCCATGTATCCTATTACTTTATCCTCTGTTCATGGGTCTCGGAAAAATACGTAAAGTTGAAAAAAGTTTATTTCATGATATTATTCAAAGGCATAATGGTCTTGTGATATTCCGAAAGATTTTATTAACGTACTTTCCATGCATTGCATTCATTTACATGTGCATTTACCCATGACTCAGACGGCGTTATATACGCGTATATATGTATATATATGTATATGGGATATGGTAAAGGTTATGGCGTTATATACGCACCACCACCTGATCAGTTGGTATACGATGATGATATTGCCCACAGTGGCTAAAATGATATGATGGAATGTCCTCAGAGGCTTGACGATGTTATGTACGTACATACCTATGCATTACATGACATTTATACGCATATGCATGACATTATAAATATTTCACGATTTACAGAGTCGTCCAGACTTACAGGTTGAGTCATTTACTCTATATTTCTTCCATGTCTTAAATTAATGTTGACTTATTATTATGTTTCAGTTCTGCCTTACATACTCAGTACATTATTCGTACTGACGTTCTTTTATTGGGGACGCTACATTCATGCCTGCAGGTATAGATAAACAGTTTGACGAGCCCTCATAGTAGATGAAGTTTGCACTTAGCTTCACTCAGTAAGACTCCACCTCATTCGGAGTGCAGCCGAATCTATGAGTCATCGTGTCAGAGTCATCGTGTCAGAGTTTTTCTACAGACTTATGGGTAGGCTGGTACCCCGTCCCATTTGATGTCGAATAATCCTAGAGGCTTTGAAGATAGAGGTTCAATATATACAGTATGTCAGAGGCTTTAACGGTCCATATGTATTCATGTTTTAAGAAAAAATGGTTCAGTGATAAATGTTTTCCACTTACAATTTTATATTATGAGTTGTGGTCGCGTTGCCCATGATAGTTATAAAAAGGAATGGATAAGTTACGGAGTGGTTCATTCGGGCCACTACGACACTGGGTGCTAACCACGCCTCCCCAGGTTCGGGGCGTGACACATATATATTATGTATAATTTTTTTCTAAACGGTGTTGAATGGTACCTTTTGCTCAAGGATGTTTTTGATGTTTCTGCGTGCATGTGTGACAATATCTTGGATCCAGTGTCAAATTTTGATAAAAGACATGGGCATAATATTCTACTCTAGCCTATTCTTCCACTTCAGGTTGTTTAGTTGTACTAAACACTTTTGACAATCTGTCGTATATAAGTGACTAGAACATGATAATTCAAAGACAAAGCTTAGCTGATGGTAGTAACATGCCATTGTTTGTTGCAGCTACTGAAACTAGAAAGCTTTTTACATAATAGTGCAGAGGATTAGGCTTTTTTGAACTGTCCTTCACAATCAGATCAATATGCTTTGACATTTAGCAGAGTGAATTGTCCTAAACTCCAATGAAAGAGCATTTATCAAACTTTCAATTTGACAACAAAATTGCTGTTTATGCCATATTCCAAGTCATTATGCAGAAAAATACACGAAGATCTTGCAAGGTTTTCTTTTCTTGGAAAATATCTCTGGTGATTAGTTGGTGAGCGAAAAACATATCTTCTAGAAAAAAAAATTATATTAACGATCAATTGTATTAGCAAATCTGATGATCACTTTAGTAAGTTATACTGAAAGGACACCCTTTACTGACATAGGCATATGGATATAAGTTATCTTGTTAGTCATACTGCTTCTTCTTATTTGCTAGAATTTGATGAAAAATTTGAGCAAATTCGAAGCACGCTAGTGCCAAGGAAACCCATAAAACTTGCTCATTCGAAGATTAATAGGTAGTGAAAATAGACTATAAGCCTGTTGCTCAAGAAAATCACCAACTAAGGAAAGAAGGCTACTCCGGTGCACTAAGCTACCACTATGTGCATGGTCTGGGGAAGGGCCGGACCACAAGGGTCTATTGTATGTAGCCTTACCCTGTAATTCTGCAAGAGGCTATTTCCGCAGCCCAATCGGTGACCTCCTGGTCATATTGCAGCAACTTTACCAATTACGCTAAGACTGCCCTTTACACCAACTAAGGAAAGAACAACAACAACAACTCAGTATAATCTCACTAGTGGGGTCAGGGGAGGGTAGTGTGTACGCAGACCTTACCCCTACCCTGGAGTAGAGAGGTTGTTTCCAAATAGACCATCGGCATCCTTTCCTCCAAGAACTCCCCACCTTGCTCTTGGGGTGAATCAAACTCACAACCTCTTGGTTGGAAGTGGGGGTTGCTTACCATCAGAGCAACCCCTCTTGTCAAACTAAGGAAAGAACTAGTTAAAAAATCATGACATAACTTAAACGTTCATTTCTTCCAATTGATGCACCCTCTTAACTTTACAAAATTCATGTCTTGTTTACCCCAAACAAGGCTACCAAAGTATCCCTTATCAATCAAAATGCACTTCTTGAAAGTAAATATGCCTGATTTGTAGGCCAACATTTTGCTCCTTCGTAGTTCATTCTATTCACACAAGTGCGGAATGAAATGAATAGAAGAAATGCAGCTTCGGAACTTTGCAATGCAAGTAAATCAAGAATGTTAAAATGGACGACATATGCTTATAAAGGCAAAGTTATCGTTCTACCAGAACACAAAAGCATCCACAAAACAGTTAAAGTTGCCGGGTTTTAAACTAAACTATACCAGAAACAGTGATGCAAAACATCATATCCTGGACGAAGTAAGACAAAACAAATACTCTATCCGTTCCAGTTTATGTAAACCTATTTCCTTTTTGGTTCGTTCCAAAAAGAATGAACCCTTTCTAAATTTGGAAACAATTTAGATTAAATTCTCAATTCTACCCTTAGTGAGAATTTTTTATAACCACACAAATACCGTGAATCCCTTTTTGAGTTGTTTAGGACCACAAAGTTCAAAAGTTTTCATTTTTTCTTAAACCCCGCGCCCAGTCAAATAGGTTTACATAAATTGGAACAGATGTAGTACTAAACTATCTCAGTCTTCGGATAAACATTTGAGACTTGAAAGTTTTCCCCCATGACAGTCTTGAGTGAGTAAAAATTTGGAATGTATCTAGTCGCTGCAGTGCCATTACCATAAACTTTCACCTTCCTAAACTTCGTCATTTTGGGCTGTAAGAAACTAGTTGTGTGCCACGCTCGTGTTGCATCAAGATTTCTCCATCTTTCCAAATTATGATTGGTACATATCTAGCATCACAGATATCACGCGGAATAGAATCCATCAAAATGCGATCTTTAATCCAAGATTCAGCTATTCCATACTCTTTCATCCACCATATATCAACATGCGTCATATAACTATTATCAGACAAACACAAACAATTCCCTAATTCTACTAGCCTCAAGCAAAAGGATGGAGTTTCCAAACCAGGTGGAGCTGGCACGGGCTTCACCTCTTCTGTCCCATTATTAAAGGAGTAAATGCTAGCACTTTTTTCAGTATTTTCATCATCTAGCCAATGAAGAGCACCAGTTACATTAACACTACCATGAAACGATCCACATAAAGGATATGGAGCCTTACCCGCATTTCTCCATTCGCTATCAACTCCAAGAATGTAAACATCCAATTCAGATACTTCAGGACGACCACGAAACTTCCTAACTACTGATCTCAATACTTTATACTGTTCAGATCCTTCACTAAAGCAAAACGCATAAGCAACACGACGAACTCTTTTCTCATATTCGGGTAATTTAACCTTGAAATACTCACCCAAAAGTGGATTGCTAATGTAAAGCGAATGATTTTCATCATACTTATCACTATCCATCAAACGTATGAACCCATTACAAGAACCAATTATTTCCAACTTTGGTTTATACAAACCGCCAATTTTCGGTTTTAGTTGAGGGAGGTGAAACTTAGGACCCAATATAACTGGCCTATTTCGGGGGCGAGAGTAATAATCATAACCAGCTTTAAGTTCAATAATTGCAGCGTTAAAGCAATCAACCGAAAGCAAAATGCAAGGAAAATTAAGCGATCTTGTCTGATACATGGTAATAAATAAAGGGTCAGAAGTTATAAGATTATACCAACGTTTGCAAACGCTCTTAGCGCGGAAAATGGGTTTGATTGGCAATCTTGAAAGGATTTCCACCATAATCGACCTTGGTAGGTCCATAATTGTGATTTCATAGGCTCTTCTTCTTTTGCAATCACAATCAGATTTGACAAATACATATTTTTTAACGATCTTTTGTTTTTGGTTCTTGAAATTGCTTAGTATTGAGTTTGAGACAGCGATAGGGACATCAAAAAGCTTGGTCACATTGGCTTCCATTTTTTCTCTTACTTTTTCTTTTGGTGGAGAAGTCGCTAATTTTAAGGGCTTTGGCCTTTGGGAGTTTTGACGCGGAAAATGACTGGAATTGGCGGGAGTAATAAACAAATATTTTCTATGGATTACATTTATTAATATTTGGGATAATAGTACTTCCTCCCCTCCCCCTCCTCCCCCATTTAGTGGTAAATACTGACTTACCAAATTTAATCTTTAATTAAATAATATATATGTTCTTGATCCCTTTATATAGGAAACATGTTATATTTGGAGTATCTTTAGAAGTATATTGCCATCAAATATGGGGTAACAACAACAATAACACACCCAAATTGATCTCACAAGTAGTATCTAGGGAGGGTAGAGTCTATTCAGACGTTATCACTACCTTGTATGACGTAGAACGACTGTTTCCAATAGACCATTGGCTCAAAAAATATATTCTCAAAATAGGTTTGAAAATATAAGAGTAGATAAATTATGAAAAAATATTCCAAAAAACGAAAATATTGATAACAGAAATAATATAATAACCAAAGCAAAATAAAAATAACAAAGTAGTAAAACTGAAGAATAAGAAAATAATAGCAGTACAAGTTTAATATAATACATATGTGACTAAGTGTTTGAACAATTAATAATTATGGTAAATTTAGTTAGATATCAATTAATTTAGTTAGATATCAAAATGACTAAATTCAAACTTTATCAATAACTGAAGGATATTTTAGGCGTCAAAATGAAAATATAGACAAGTTTTGGGCCGTTTATGTATTTGGTGTTATAAATATATTATATTATGGATGTTCATTTAGTACTCCGTTGTAGATAAGCTTTTTGACCATATGGGACTCCACCGTAAATATGTTTATCTATTTAGTACTCTATTGGAAATAAGCTTCCTGAAGAAGCTTATCACTTCGGTACCCGGTTATGGATAAATATTACCCCCGGTAGAAGATTATCCATCGGGTATAATAAGCTTATCCTTTCAGTACCCAGTTATGGATAAACATTACCCCCGGTAGAAGATTATCCATACCGGGTATAATAAGCTTATCCTTTCAGTACCCAGTTATGGATAAACATTACC